TGTCTGTCATAAACATTCGCGGCAAATAACACTGGAAAAGGCTGTGTTGGAAGATGGCCAAGGTGATAGGATTAATGTTTAGAGCCTCTAAAAGATTATGCTGGAAATAACAACACCTTTTATTTACAACCTGGAGGGCATCTGCACCTACTCAGGCAGGTTAATTCTGCTGCGCGTGGGTTTGCCTCCCCTGGCAAGGCATCTGCTACCGGTATCCTGCTTCCAAACAGCACCTCCCGGAGCAGACCACCAGTAATTCAGCTCTGGGAAGGCCAGCCAGAGGTCCCAGCTCTGCGCCTTCTCAGAGCTCCTTTTACAATATCCAGAGAACCTGAAGAGTTATTAAATTATCCCAGGATCCAAACAATTCCCAGAACAGCAATTGCTTCCCTACTCATGTGTTTGTATAAAATCTAACACACTCCACATGGGTTTTTTCCAAATCTTTTTCACGTGCAATCCCGGAACCAAATGGAAAGGGTTATAATAAGTTTGAAGTATTTCAAAAATTGGGAAACGGTCTCCCTAATGGTGAGTGATTTGAATTTCCTGCAGCATTCTTGTTTGTTTCTTTTATTTTTGTAAGAACTGGGTTCTGGAAACTAGTCTTAAAAAAAAAAAAAAAAAAAAAATGCTTCATGACTTGGCAGAGAGAAAAAGTACGCTATGAAACATTGCAAAATAGTAGGATAATACCACCAAAAAGGCAGTGCTCTTGCAAAATAACAGCTCTTGGTGGTGAATTACAAATGTTAAATAGGTCAGTCTCATGGTACCCTAGTGAGAGTGATTAGATGCACTAGAAAGACTGCTGAAGTAAAAGCACTTAAGGAGGAAGTGCTCAGAGGAATTTGGCCCCCCAAATGGATCACGCGGAGGATGCTTTGTGCCTTTCAGTGTTTCAGGTCTGTTGTGGAGACCCAGGCATCTCCATGTACCTGAGGCTCAAGAACCTACAAATGCCGAGGAGTTGGCTAATTAATTTGTCCTCCCCAAGACAGCTTGAGGATTGTGGTTGTTGCAAGGCTGCCTCCATATCTCTCGTCATCAGCTGAGCCTAACACAGGCAGGCCACAGGAGCTGAGCAGATTGGCGACTTGCCTTTGCTTTGGGATATTTGGGCTGAGGCATTGTGCCTTCTGCAGCACCAAAACACATGTGCCTGTCTGGGCACTGCCAAGCTGTGCTTTGGGGCCATGGAGGGAGATTAGAGAAAATAGGAAGCCTGCTGTTGTGGGAGAGGTTGGGCTTAAGGACTCTGGAGCTGATCTGTGCCTTATATTTTCCTGTTCTGAAGCACAAACATGCTTTATGTAACGTCTGCAGGAGCTGTTGTCAGGCAGTTATGCTCAGCACCTGGAAATGTGCTTCTTCCCTACTTCTACTAAGTGACTGCATTATTGCATTTGGAGAAATAAAACTGGGTTTTGCTCAGTGTCTCATTATCTATGCCAGAATTTCTTATGCTTAGTTATTACCCTCATTTAGTAGCATATGTATAGAGACGCTAAATGCTTGTTGCAGTATAAATATGCCTTCCACAGTATGAATTAATACAGTGATTCAAGTGGCATTAAAATGAAATGCTGTTTTGAGCCACTACATGCGTTTGTAAAAGACTGTGATAAAAATAGTCCTGTACAAATTGCTCAGGGGATTGCACCTGTGCTGAAGCGGAGGCTTTCCTTGGCACAGCGGGTCCAGGTGCCTGTGCCCTGGGGCAGGAGCTGTTGTGCTGTGGTGCAGGGAGCCCCAGTAGCCTGCTGCTGCTGCAGGCTGGTCTGCGAGTGCTGGCTTGGCACCACTGCTTCAGGAGCTGCTATGTCTGCTTTGTAGTATTTGCACTGACCTGTATTTCATCTGCAGAACTGCTCAATCAGTTAGTCATAATGATGCAGAAGAAATGGATTTCTATATTTTTGATACATTACATCCAGTAATCATCCAACTTTAGGACTACTTGCAAAAATAAATAATTACAATTTAAAAAATTACAGGCATTGCCAGATTTCAGGTAGCTGTTCTTCCTTCCAAGTCAGAAAACATACTTTCTCTGTAGAAACTCATCCATGCCTTTCATGCCTGTGAGGGCTTCCGAGAGAGAAGTCCCCAGGACACTGCAGCCGATTGATTCAGCTGGGCTCAGACCGCCCAGTGTGGAGGAAGCAGGAGGGCACAATCTCCACAGGCATTCCCCAGACCTGTCCTTTATTGCAGCTCATAACCACCATGAAATCCGCCTGCAGACTGGGTGAAAGTTCATGCTAAATTTAATTGTCTTTGCAGTGCTGTATTATATGAATTAGTTGGTAAAAATCAGTAAATGATGTTATGCAGGCAGCTGGAGTAACTGGAGTAGCTGGAGTGCTTCTCTTCCTTTGCACACTGGTGATCTTAATATGGAAATAACATTTTCCATGGCTTCCTGTTGGCTACGTACAAGGAATGCCTGCGTGTGGGATGGGGGTCTGTGTCTCTGGGTTTTGGCCAGAAAATCCTCGCTTTCAGAGGACAGCAGCCCGAGGGGAAAGTGTGAGTAGGGTTTTCTTCATGTAAGACGACAGTAGGTTTTCCAGCACTTCTTAAGCCTATTTGGTTGCTCTGTGCTTTGTGTAAGGAGTGGGACTAGAATAACAAAATGGTCTCTATGGGCTAGTCCCTGACTGGAGTCCTGAAGCCAATTTTAAATATGATATGGATGTTACCAGGAATAGATCCTCTCCTAGGGAATGAATGTCAGTCCTCATCAGAGCCTCTCCAGCAAACACACCGGGAGATTTCATTTCACAACCTATTCTACCTGGAATCAGCACCGCTTGTACTCCAGCATTCAGACACCATTTGCCCAGAAACGTATGTATTTAACAAAGTGTTAGGGGACGGTTCCCTGTATGGCTACTGGATATAATGGGAAATGTTAATGTGCAAGTGAGTTGACCAGTCAGCTGCAGAGACATGCGCTCTTGTCTGTGAGTTAGACAGCTGGGAAACAGCAGCTCTGGACCAGGCATTGGAGAAAGGCACAGCAATCTAGCAAGCCTCTGAAAATAACATTACTCCATGAACCTGCTTCATCCTTTAGGACTCTTGTGACGTAAGACGATGATTTTAGCTTTAATTATATATCCTATCATACGGTTTATTTGAGAGAGGGAGTAGCTGCCCCATACCACACCACCCTCACTAAATCCAGTACATCCTGTTCTATTCTTTAATCTTTTCAACGTGAGGTCACTCTTTTTTGTTTGTTTGGTTTTGTTTTTTTAAATTGCCTTCTAGCTGTGAGAGTTAGAGCTTTGGATTCCGCCTTGTCTGCCATCTCCCCTTCCAAGAGGAATTCCCTCCTTCATGTCAGTGCAGCTCCCCTTGTCTGCACCATCCTCTGTTCCAGCAAACCCAAGAGTAGGGTAGCAGGTGGGGCACCTGCCCTGGTCCATAGGCACAGTTCTCTCTCTCTCTACTGTGACCTGTTGAGCATAAAGCCTACTGAAGGCTGTGGAGCAACAATTTGGATTGTTTCTGTTGCCAGACCTCAGTGTTGTGTTCACAAATGGCTCATTTCCCTGACTCTAGCATGGAACAAAATACATTGGGAGCTACAGGGGAAGACATCTAATATAGTGTGAGTTCTTTTACATCACAGGCAAGAACATCAGCAGGATGGTGAGAAGCTTTCTGCAAGTGGACAAGAACTGGATGGCTCTTCCCTGTGTAAAGATGAAACTGCTAAGAGTTAAAATGGTTACAGGACTCCCTTGGTCCAGCTTCATCCAGAGCCATACTCTGCAGCTCACGCTGAGCAGTTTCTTCCACATGAATCATCTCATGGAAACAGAAGGGGCTGCTCTGGCACTGAATTCTGTGCAGCAAGCTTGATTCAACAATTAACCCTCATGATTTGTGCTGAGAAAATATTTCAGTGTTGAATAACAAAGAGGAAGAACATTTTAATTTACAAGAAACATTGAACGCTTGGCTAGCAGTAGCTGTAGGATGCAATCCAAAACCATTTATTGTCTATTGTTATCTTTCTGTTCACTTCAGTAGAGCTGACTTTTGGGGGCTTCATTATGATTCGTGCTTATTAGTCAAGTTTTAGTATGGCTGTGCTGAGGATGGCTCTCCCTTGTTGCACAGGCACAAGGTAAGCCATCTGGGCAGCAGAGAGCTTGCAGGCTGAACAGAGAAGACAGGAGAATGCATCAACAGAGCCAGCAACCTGTGCATCTCGTTGCTGTTTGGGAACAGGAACAAGGGAGGGAGGGGAAAATGAGAAGCTCGGTGCGGCACACGAGAACCTGTTACAGAATAGGAGAGGTGGCAAAAAGTTCTTGAGTGCTGAGATTCCCAGGTGATGGCTTGTTAGTGGTTTGGCTTTGCAGGTGCTCGCTCATTCCCCATGTATGGATCTTTCCCAGACACTGAGCATGCGTTCAGATAACCTCTCTGTGGTCTCAGCAGAACAAGTTAACTGATGCTGATTTCATCTAAGTGTCTGATGCTGATTTCACCAGCTTTAGAAGATTTATATGCATACAAGTTAAGCATGTGCCAAGTGCTGTGCTAGTCTGGTGTCTGTCGGCTGCACCATACATGAACTAGGAAGGGTATCAGGAGAGTTTTGTACTGACTAGGCTCTGCGAAGAGACACAGTGGTTGTGATTTCTGTAGCCAGTCTGGAATATACCACAAATACCAGATTCATCTCATTTGAAAGCTTTGAATTAAATCTGTTTACTGTAATGGAGCCTCCCACAACTCCCTGCCCTCTTTTTGTTTCCTGGTAGATTTTCATTTGGGGAAGTTGCAGTGCAAATGTCGTCTTTGTGCTCTCCTGAATCACGATACTGCTACATGGGTGAATTTTTTGTATTATTATTAAAAAGGAAAGCCACGTGATCATTAGCTTTTTCCTTTTGCTTCCTTAGATTCCCTTGAATGCAATCCTGTTTGGATTTTAACCTAAAAACTTACAGCTTTCCTGCTTCTTATCCTTTCAGTTTCTTCGAATGCAATGACTCAGCAGCTACAGGATGAATTTGACAGTAGCGTGGAGAATGCAGAAGCTTGGATGAAGGCCATCCAAGAGAGACTGAGGATCAATGACAACACCAAGGGACCTCGATCTGCCCTAGAAGCCAGACTAAGAGAGACAGAGGTAAGGGAAGAGTGATGTAATGGGTCAGAGGTGCTATCAATTGCAGTTATTGCTGCTAGCTCTGGAGTTTTCTGTTAAGAAACTCTCAGCCACCTGCAGCTGCTGTAATATTGTTCCTGTGTGGATGGGCTTCTAATTTTCCATCTGCAGAATGTTTACAGACACTGTAGAAAAAGAGGAGAGCAATCTGTTATCACAGGCTTCTGAGCTTTTCAGATTATTTTGGAAGATGAGCGGCAGGTTTGGCAGGTTAAAATGTCTGCACGCTTCTGTGAGCATGCTCAGACCTGAGTGGCCGCTTGCAAAAGTTGGGTATCATACAAGAGAATTTGATGATATTAGTGTTCCATGTCCTCCAGGACTGGTAAAGAAAGATTGCAAGTGTCCTAGCAATGGCTGTTCTAGAGTAATCTACTTGTCCTTTTCCATAAGACCTGGTAATAAGAGGCTTTACAGCTCCTCTTCATAATCCGTCTAATGAAAAGGCAAATGTTTTCATTTTTTCTGTTCTGACTTAATCTCTTATATAACTCCCTCACAGAGATCCCATTGCAGATTGTGCCTGTTCTCTTACTGTGATTTCACATTCATTAAGTTCAGTTTCATTAGATGTTATCTTGCTCTTATAATCTCAAAAAATGAAACACTCCTGTTTGTCCCATCAATAGCATTCATGATTAGAGGGAGTGGTGGTATTTCTATGATTAACACTGAAACTATTTTTGTACTTACCTTCAATTCTAACTAGTTTGTTCTTTAAATCAATCAGCCATATCTTTTCCATCGTTATTTACCCAACAGTATTTGGTTTTGTATCTACTAATGTTTGGACAGCATCTTCTGAAGTTTAACAGCTCTAAGGAAACCTAGCAGGCATACACGGAGAGCGAGGTACCTTATACCATAGCATAGCAATGTCTTCTTTCCTAACTGTGGCTCACTGAAGGCTGGATCTTGCCTCTGGACTAATATAGAGACTCTGCATGGAGTGATGGATGATGGCTAGATTTACATGTCAGTCATGAGAATCTGCAGTATTTCCTCATGGGCTATGGATTTATTTCTGCCCTTAAATAATTTCCATTCTTTCTTTTTGTCTGGGAAACTGATATTTGCAGTCTCTAGAAATATGCAGGAAGCACAAGAACTTGAGTAAGGAGAGTGGTAGTTTGGCAAAGGGGGTGTAATCATGGCAGAGACGTAAGGTTTAGAGGTTTTTGGTGATTTAATATGGCTGAACTGAAGCCTGTTGACTTCTGTGGGATTTGGAGCAGTTTTGCAACATGAACAAAATCAGGTTAGAAGAGTTTGTTAATTCAGACTTCAGAAATGCATCATTCTAAAGACAACCAAGTGTCTATTTTCTCTTTGTGTGTACATTATCCACCTCCTGCTCTCTCATCCCGCCTTCCTGATGGGCTTGGCTTGCCTGTCTCCTCACTATGTGCTCACTGCTTCACCTATTGGCTGATTTTAAATCCTGTCATCATTTTTCAGTTCCTTTTTTGCATGTGGATTGCTTTTTTTTTTTTTTTTTTCATGCTTCCTTTCTGTGGTTTACCTTCTGTTAATTTATTAATGAAAATGTCAGCCAACGATAGCAATCATTTAAACAGATTTGAAAAATGCCCGTACAGCCACTGCTTTCTCTCTGGCTGTTGTTTACTTTCACTTCAAGTGCTGGAAAAATGTCAAGCTTTTAACACAACTTTCCTCTAAATTTTTCCTGTTGGGTGAGAGATGTGGCTTTTATTTTCTTTTCCTACCCTATCCTTTGACCTTCTTTCTTGGATTATTTTAATCACATAGTTGGTCAAAACACCTGCTTGTAAGTAACATGCAGATGTTCTTTGTTCATGCCAGACCAGTCTTTTCCCAGAATATGAGGCTGGAAGTTCAAAGGCCTGTGATTTGGTCTCACCTTTGCAATAACTGACTTGGTTTATTTTTTTTTTCCTTTGAACAAATCCCATGGGCCTTATCTTTCCAAAAGTAGTTGCTAAGTTTGAACCTCTCCATGTTTTCAAAACAGAAACCTTTTCCCTCAAGCTTGAAAGCCTGCTGTGTGTTAGGAGTTTGTGGAAGAACAGCAGGAAAAGCCAATCCAATGGTATCAGAGGATTGGCTAAAATAACACTAAAAGCTGGCATCCAAGTTTGGATATAGTTATTCTGCAATACTGTACAAAGTCGTGCTGATTTTCTGTGTTCAGGTAAAGAAAGAGAGTTTGCCTCAGATTAGATGGCTTAACTTTCAGTTCTTGGCTTTCTGATTTGTTCAAGATATACTTTTTCAGCAATTCATAACTTAGCAATTTAGGGTCAAAGCAAAATTTGGTAGCAGACGGGAAATTCTATTAGTTAGCTTCTCTTGGTTTATTTTCGGAGCCAACCTTTATTTGCATTAGGAGGCCTTTCAAATACACTGCATGGTTTCTTATAGTGCATCTTAGAATGGAGATGTGGAGATTGCTTCTTTTTAGCTAACAAAATGTTTTTCAATTCCTGCACGGTTTTCAATTCAATTCAGTCCTTTAGGATGTTTAAGAAAAAACAAATCTGAAGAAAATTTCTTACTTTCCACTCAGGAAAAGCTTTGCAGCAGGGACTATATGATTGCTAGAAAAAGCAAAAGTTAAATTTCATCAGTTATGCTTTCTTTCTTTTCAAACTTTCAGTCTCGTTTGATTTTCCCACAGAAAATATGTGCTCTGGAACCAGAAGGCAGCTTGAAAATAGACCTGATTCTTGTGAAGGCAGATGCTGCTCTTCGTAGCATCAGTGAGGATAAGAAGCATGAAGTATTATCTAAATTGAGACACATTAAAGCCTTGTGGGAAGAGACAGCCATATACATCACTCATTGTCACAGGTAAGACGAGTGTACTCTGCACAAGGCTGCTTTTTGGGTTGACGCAAGTTATTTCATCCAGTGCTTTTGTAAAGTGACTGTGTCTGTCTTCTGCCTGGATTGCAGGTAGCAGTCGCTGCTAACCACAGTTGCTGCTAATCCATGAGCATTTGGGGGTTTGGAGAGCAGTAGTGGGGAGAGAGTTGGTGGAAGCTCAGCTCACTCTCCCTTCATAGCCAGCCCATCTCATGGACTTCAGCAATGAATTTTGTTGGCATAGATACCTTCCTTTTACAGGATATTTCCTCCACAGAGTAGGAAGGACCTGGGAAGTAAATTGTGACCTTCTGAAATCAGAGCATCTTAAAGGACAAGGCTCTCAGCATTTTTTTCTTTGAATGCCTTTTGAGCTTGCCATGTTCCACTGGTCCCACCATGATTTCATTTAACTCATCTCTCTTGCTCTTCCCAACAGCCGCATTGAATGGGTCTGGCTGCACTGGAGTGAGTACCTGAAAGCCCAGGATGAGTTTTATGCATGGATTCACAACATGAGGGTGACCTTGGAGCCTGACATTGAGTTGCAGCTTGGCTTAAAGGAGAAGCAGTGGCAGCTGAGCCATGCCCAGGTTCTGCTGAATGATGTCTTAAATCAGTCAGTTTTGCTGGAAAGACTGCTAGAAGAAGCTGCTTCCTTGTTCAACAGGATAGGTGACCCCAGCGTTGATGAGGATGTTCAGAAGAAAATGAGGGTGGAATATGAAGGAATCAAGGAAGAAGCCCAGGTACACCGATTAACAACGGGAGGTGTTCAGATTTCATCAATATGCAGTATCGTTTACTATCTGTGTTTCTTGGCTGATGGGCTTACCTGGTAGGACTGCAAAAAGAAGCAGAGCTGAGGATCTCTTTTCTTTCAGTCAGTGGGCTGGCTGTAGCATTGATGATCTTTGTATAGCCAGGTGCAAAGCATCCATTCACAGGGCCAGGGAATATCACAAGCTTGCGCACTAATTGGTGGTTGTTAAATTAATTTCAGATCCAGAGCTGTGCTCTCCACCTGTAGCACTGGGAAGCACTGGGATGGAGTCAGCTGCAGCCCGACACTGAACTCAGCTGGCCAGTCCCAGTACGAGTTCCATTAAACACAGATATTAATTTGTGCTTGATGCTAATCTTCCAGCTTAACCAGTTATTAGCCTGGTATAAGATGTTGTAGTTATCTTTCAGTGCCAGTGATTTGACCCTGTTCCTGGGTAAAGAAACTAGGATAAAGACAGGATTGGAGCATGTGGCATGGCTAAGGGGTAGAAACTTGCAAGTGGGCTGAAAAGTTCAGTTGCTTACTAACTTGTATTAATAGAAACACCCAAAAGAATATTTGAAATATATATAAACTCATATAGGATATAGAGCTTCTTAAAATCTAATTTGTGCCTCATAGTGGCTTCCAACAAACCCTCAGGCTTGATTTAAGTGATGCAAATACAAATAATTTCCATCTCATTTGCTCTATCTGGCCCCGACATAATGTTGCCTTCTATTTGTTCCCACATCACAACTCAGAGCTGGAGCAATGTATGCTATCCGTCCCTAGGTGCTGTTGTAACAAAGGTTAGTTTCGGATCACACTGGAAGAACAACATTGGGGTGCTCACACCATTTGCTCTGCTTGCTCTATAGATACTTTCTTCTGTTTACAAAGAAAAAAAAAAAAAAAAAAAAACAGAAAGAAAAAAAAAACAGCTGGCAGCTTTCATGAACATGATATTTTTATTTTTTTTATATAATAAAAATGTTAAAACTGCTACCAATAAGTCTCTCTAGAAAACAGAATATTAAAAATTTTGTATCTGCAGCTGCTGCAGAGAGGCTGTAAAACCACTAGCAGAACTGCAAGTCAAGGTTGATTATTTATTTGTAAAGGTATGTCTCTTCATAATGAGGCAACTGGTTTTATGAATAAGATGGTTTCTTGGAATTCAGATGTCCTCTATCTAGATTGCCATTTAAAATTCTCATTCAGTCCCTTTTAACCAAGATTTGTGTTTAGTTTGGAAGCAGGAGACAGTCATTAGACATTTTAATAAGGCCACTCTTTCAAACAAGTGATTTAAGTACTCAGAACCTGAATGTGACCTTTCTAGGCTGGTTTTACACAGTTTCATTTCTCTGACTGACTTGGAAGTATGCTGGTGTAAATTAGATCAGAAGTGTCTCATAGTAGATAAAATATGTTTTTATGTCTCCAGACAGAAAAAGCTTTTCTTTGGCATTGGTTACAAATACCACATTTCACAGAAAGATGGGGTGAGAAAATCCAGCTAAGAAATCCCTTTCAGGAGGTATGAAATAAAGAAGGGGGTTGGGAAGACTCGGATTTTGCAGCTGAGGTAAATGCAGAGTTCGTTAGGTAATGCCAAGATTGCAGACATGTTGGAAAGCAGAAAAATAGTTAAGGAAGCCCTGCCACCTCTCCCACCAGGAGAGAGGAATGAATGAAAGAGAGACAGGAGTTGTAAGGGGATTGCTCCAGCCCCTCACATGATGAGAGTCCAGGCTAAATGTGAATTGCAGACGCCAGCTGAATGCCTGAGCTGCCTGCCACAGGAGGAATCCTGCTTTCTGTAGATTACACTTGTGTTGAAGAGCATTTTTAGATCCCGTGCAGTTGTCCAGCCCTATCGAGTACAAGCTCTTGGACAGAGATTATTAAACAGTTTAATGGTTTCCTTGTGACATTGCTTTGCTTCTCTGGTATGCGGAAACTTTTTTTTTTTTTCCTCATAGTGCTAACGTGCCCTTATTTTCAAATTTTAGAAAATTTTCTTTTAATTACATCAATAGAGTTATTTTTAGATGTGGCAGCCATTCCCTAAATGCTTTCCCTTGCCTGATAAAATATCAATATGCAGATGTAGATGGCTGTGGGATTGAGCATAAATTGTGACTGAAGATGATAAGAAAATGTAGGTAGTCAAATATATCAGATATGCCTCAGCACACCGATTTTTATCCATGTTGTCTCTGTTAACTCAAGCCTAGATATTTATAATGCCAGCTCCCCTGTACCTCATAGCTACTAAGACTGAATGCAGCAGGAGAGGCTACAGGAGCTTTCTGCACTCGGTCTGGGGGAGGGATTTAGAGCAGGAACTTCCTTTATATGCTCCAAATTGCCTTCCAAAAGAGGTTTGTTTGCATTTGCTGATTGTTAGGGGACCTTAGGGGAGAGTGTTTCCTATGCCTCCGTTCAACCTCTGTGAGTACCCAGGGCTGAGCGGATCCTGCCCAGACACATTTCTTCCTCTTGCAGCCCATGGTGGACCCATTCTTTTCCTGCCAGGCTCTCATTTTTTCCAGGGCCAAATCCTTGCTGAATATACCTCCTCATGTTAACCATGTGCATGTGGAGATGGAGTTTAACACTGCCCTACTTCCCAAACAGCTAATCTAACACAAGCAAGTGATGTCTTTTTTCCCATCATTTTTCCCATCCTTTCCCTGCCTAATGTCTTGGTGGGGGAAATTCAGACAGTATTTTGTCAGCCTTTTGCTTGACAGCTGTGTATCCATGTGTGTGTCAACTCTTCCTTATGGACGAGCTGTATTCAGACTGTGCACTCCTTTGTTTTGACTGAATAGCCTGTGCCAGGGTGGGTCATTTCTACTTCCTTTTTAACCCTCTATATGTTAAAAACAGGCCTTTGATTTTAATAATAGCTCTGCTTTGATATTCTGGTTCATTCCCTTTCGGACTTCTATCTAAATTAGCCTAATTCCCTGGAAACAATAAACTTGGGCTCATGTGCTTCAGTTTGATGTTTGGATCCAGCACACCATTATAATGATTGCACTCCTCAGGTCCCTAACTCAGGTCAAAGTTTCACCTCCATGCACATCTGCAGACTTGAGAACCAAGGCAAGGGGACACAGCAAATGGGTGCAGAGTTTTGCTGGATACATCTCGGCCACAGAAGTCTGTAGTAATAATTCTGCTTTTTGGTCTGTTGCCCACACCTGTGCTTGCGTTGTCAGCAGAAATGAGAAGTCAGCATGGAAAAGAGAGAGCTGTGCTGCCACCTGCAGAGTGGCAGCTTTGTACTGTGCCGTGGGCATAACCTGTCCCAAAGTTAAAGGCAAAGGCCCAGTGGGACCACCACTCCAAATTCCATATTAAACAAAATGAAACTCACCCTACTGTCAATGACAGCACAGCCTGTCAAGGGTGCTGCTACAAGCACCACGTATATTCCACAGAGGGCTTTTTTTTTTTTTTTTTTTCCACCTTAGCGTAACACAATTGCGTTTCATGCCACCTGGTAAAGGGCAAAAAAACATCAATCTGATTTGTAGGAAATAGTACTTGGTTGGATATTAAATTACTGGAACAACAGAACAAGATTGCTTATGATTCATGTATAATATCCTTCAGCAAACACAAAACCTCGGCTAACAAAGAAGGATAGACTAAGCAATGTAATTTTGCCCTGTGAGTGGTGCCAGTCTGGATCAGTGGGGAGCAATTCCTGAAGTGCAGGCCACTGTAAGATCAGGGATTATTTTCCTACCAGAGAGGAACCTGTAGTTTGTGTCCTTGGGTACAAGCCTGCAGGACTGAAAGACCCTACAGGACTGCTGGGACAAGCCTTCATGCACGCACCCTCATGTCCTGCTTTCTGAGATGAACCATGAAGTCCCAAGTGCTACTGGGGCTCGTGGAAAGGGGCTCTCGTTTATAAGTTCTGGGTTACAGTTTAAAGGAAAAAGAGTCAGATAAGCACTGTCCTCACGGCTTCTGATGTCTCTTGTTACAGAGCAGAGTGAAACTGCTTGAAAAGATAACCAACGAGCACGAGCGGTACAGCACAGACGTCAACCAGTTTCAATCGTGGCTGAATGGTGTGACAGAAAGATTAAACTGCTGCATTGGGGAAGCAACCAAGTCTTCAGCAGAGGACAAGCTAAAGGCACTGAAGGTCCTTAAATGAAATAATTCTGACAATGAAGCAGGCCTGTGTGTTCTCCATACCTTTATATGTTTCTCAAACCACACAAGGATGTACTTAAGACAAGAATTGCACAAACAAAACAAGGCGGTAGTTGTTGTAATGTTGGTGAAGAGTTATTGCAGATCTGGAAATCGTTAGTATATATGGTTCTCCTGATGGTATCAGGAGTTTCAGTCTGTTTTTTGTTGTTTTTGTTTGTTTGTTTTGTTTTGTGGTGGTGTTTTTTATTTTGTTTTCCTTAAAGCCAGCTCTTCTACAGTTATGTGGTTCTTCGAGCATCTTGCCCTTTTAAACTTTTTAAGTGAAGTTATATTCGGTAAATATGTTCCAAATAGAGCCTGAAGGCACACAGGTCTTGAGTGTATAGAGCTGGTGATAAAAATAACAGTTTTGAGAACAATTTTTAATATTTTAGTACTATGTCTTAAACTGTTCAGCTTTAAATATCATAGATTTGTTTGTCTGCAGCTCCTGTTTTCTCCATCAGGGACCTCAGATGACAAGCGTTTCTGAAAATCGAGCCAATATTTTCAGAATTATGGCAGGTAGTTACTCAGAAGGCAGTCAGATGACCAGCCCTGGCTTCTGGTCACTTGAAAAAAAAAAAAAAAAAAAAAAGAATTTTATTCTTGAAATAAGAAGTGAAGAATGATATATGTACAACTAGGAGAGGTGGTCTTGTTTTCCTACTGCTTTTGCCTTTTTCCTAGTTTCCAATTCCTACAGATAATGTTTATGTAACTTCTTTCTGCAGGAAATTACCAAAGACATCAGGAGTGGTGGGAAGAAATGGAAGTACCTTGAAAATCAATGTGCAGAGGTGATTCAGAATACCTCCCCACTGGGAGCTGAGAGAATGAAGGATGAACTTGAAGAGCTGAAAAAAGCCCTGGAGAAGTTGAAACTGCTGAGCAGTGAGGAGGAGGAAAGATTGCTCAAGATCCAACAGTCAGAAAGTGCCTACAAGTCCCAGGTCAGACAATTAGAAGCAGATATCCAGGAATTCAAAAAAGACCTACAGAAACTAGAAAATGACCTGAACTCTGGGGAAAGGGAAAAGACTGAAGATGCGTTTGTAGCTCAGTGGAGAAAATGCAATGTAAGTTGCTGTCCTTTGAATGCTTAACAATAGCAGGTATCAAATGTAGTCATAGATTGAACACACAGAGTCACATCCAGCTGCCTGCCCCATTGTTTACAGATGATAAGGAAAGAGTAGTAGTATATATGAAACAAATGGACGAAAGTGTGAATACCAGCCATGGAATCAAATACTCTAACCTTTATCTCACTGCACAGTAGGGAGGAGGACTGGAAGATGATTTGGAGTTTTGTATTTTGAGTCCATAGGGAAAATATGCAAAAGGAGAACAATACAGAACAAACACATAATTTGCTCTATTTATAAAGAAGTAGGAAAAATAATGCCTCACTGTATGTACAAATATATACATACATTCACATACATACAAATGTGTCCTTATAAGTACACATACCTTGGGGGTTTTTGGAAGGCCGTTTTTATGTTACATCCTTCATCTGTGTAAGGTGGGTACATGTATTATGTGTATTACGTGTATTCCCCTACCATCAAACACAACTATCTTTTTTAAGTCCCACATTTGTAATAATCCAACAGCAAAATCAGTCTGTTGGAAAAAGGAGTGCAAAGTTATTTGCACATAAAGTACGCAAGAATCTTTACCAGTTGTTTCATCTTAAAAGGTTGGTTTTGCATTTATCATCTCTTTCCAAAATACTTTTCATAGCTATTCATATGTCCAGAACTCAGCAGGACTAGATGGGGAAAATTATATGTAAAAAAAAAAAAAAATCCACTAAATACAGATTGGTTCGATCCAATTACAGCTACATTTTTTTTTGTTGGTTTAGTTTCCTTACATCAGCATAGAATTAACGTTCTATATTTATGGATGTTTCAGAAAGATGTGTTCCTGTAAACAGAGGTGGTTAAGATTATTCCAGACATGCATCTTGTTATACAGTGCAATCAGTGAACTGAAACTGGGTCTAGCTGTGATTCACTGTTCAAACAGCAAACCCCACCGATCAGATGCCAGAGGGTAGGCAGTGGGGCAGAGAGGGAGGACAGCAGAGATCACCTGCAGGAACAAAACAGTTCCTGAGAATATTTTCCACTTTATCAAATTTCATATTCATTACAGCCAGGAAAAAAGGCATCGGAAAGGGGACTTTTGGTTAGCAACATGAATACCTTGAGAGACAGCCTTAGCACTTCATTTCATGTTCCAGACAGTACGTATGGTGTGACCTGTTTGTTATTTTTGTGATTAAGGCAACAAGAGCAGTTCTGGCTGCAGAAGAATCGAAGATTGAGAGGCTGAAGGCTCAGCTTAAGGATCTGCTACAGTTTTCCCAAGATGTGCAGCCACACACTGAGAGTGTTGTCTCTGCCATACGGGACTATCAAAGGTAGAGAGAAGTCTGACTATGGAGGGGGGGAGCAATCTCTCAGGAATTGAAGGGATTGAGAGGGACCTTGTAAAAAAAGAGAGAAGCCATACAATTGTAGGGTACAGGTGGAAAGTAAGTTTTTTTTCTTTTTTCTTGTTTTCTTTTTTCCTACTTAAATCTGCCTCCACATTTCAATAAGCCTGCAATTTTAGCCATTTGCTAGGAGTTGTAGGTTTCTGGAAGTTTTCATGCAGTGATTTTGTGTCATTGATGTCGTGTATGGTTCGAAGAAAATTAGATTGTTGGCAGCTAATTTGATCTTCTTAGTCTTGTATAATAATAATTCATGTGCTTTGCTTGCCTTTCATGACAGCAACTAGAAAATCGGGACAGGAGCTGTAGTAGTTCAGAACCATTATGGCCCTTCCTTTTTGAGTCTGCTGTGATGACTCATCGGCCTTAGCAATTACTTGGCAGAGTTTATTCCCCTTCTAACTGCATGCATGCGTAATTCCTGTTTTTGTCTTGCCTTGGATTGGGTTAAATTCTGAAAGTTTAGCCTCTTCCTAGACTTCAGTGTTTCCACTTCCAGGTTGTCTGGAATCAGGAAGTCAGGAAGTAAAGAAGCTGCAGCGAATTTTGCAACTAGAAAAAGGTTTTTTTTTGTGTTTTTTGTTTTGTTTTGTTTTTATTTTTTAGGAAAAATATTTGGTTACATGTTTTTTTAAACTGTACGCAAGATTATTTTCCTCTATGAAGTGCAGAGTATGCTTCCTAGCTGGGAGAGTTTTTTCCCTCTAGTTTTCTTCCAAAGCTTCTTCGCAAATTCTGGCAGCTTCATGCTGAGCCCGGAAGGGCCAGCAGAGGAAATGGCAAGGTACGAGTAATGTCAGTGCTTTCCTTTTGCGGAGCTTTCAGCTTCTGCAAACCTGTATTTGTTTAGCTTTGTAATGTCGCGGTGACACAAGTAAGATTATTCTTTCTGGCTTTATAGACAGGCAGAATTAATCGTGATTACCTTGGAAGCCTGTGGCATTGTTCTTGACTACTTATCCCGTGAATTCTCATGATACAGTTCCCATGTGCACACGCAGTTTGGGCTGCATTCTGCCATGTTCGATAGGACTCAGCAAACTGTCAGGAAAGCTTAGAAAAACAGGAGGCAGATGCATGGGTGTGTCTCTGCTAGGCCTTGTTACTCAGCTGTGTCTTGGATAAGCCTTTGTAAGAGAAGCCTGGATACTAAATAAATGTGTGCTGATTTATTTTTTTATATATATCCACACATACACACATATGTATACACATATATATACACACACAGAGGTAGATAGGTATGTGTATACATATATATATTTATTTATATTTTTCCAGAATCGTATATATAAATGTATCTAAATACAAGAGCTTCTGCAAATGTGGTTCTTCAAAATTTTAAAAATCTAGATTTGAAGACAAAAAATGATTACATATTTTCCTTTTGTTATAGGTAAGGTAGAGTGATCATAGCTTTCTTAATACAATTTTTATATGTAAAACTACAGACAACTGTAGTTAAATTCTAGATACCCTTGGCTTGTTCCTCCCAAAAGTCAATGAGACTGCTCTGGTAATATAATCTGGTAAATCATGCTGCTGATATCAGCCAAGAAAGATGACATGCAAGGGGAAATGACTGCTAAAAACACAAAGAAGTTCCTGATACACAGTTGCACAAAAATAAAAATGTGTCTTGGGACATCTAAATGAAGTTTTGTCAGACCTTTCTGACTGACACAACAGCTGTCAGTATGTAACACCAGGCTCAGACAGTGAAAAAGACTGAGGCTTTTGTGTTGGATATGGTTTACACCCAAAGATTGTGTTAATTCATGCCTCAATGAATGGGATATTTGGACTTGGATTTCTTTGTAATTTTTCTCTCAGCTGTCACTTTATCCTTGCAGTGTTAGAAGGAAGACATCTAAATTGAGTACTGACGTAGAAACTCAACTGAGGAAAGTCTTCCAAAATCCCGTGCAAGATTTTGAACAGTGGAAGCCATCCGTCCAGATGCTCCTGGAGTCTCCAGAGCCATCACTGGCTCAGATTGAGGTAGCAAACCTGTTACTAAATTCAGAAACTAATACTTGGTATGTGTTTGTCCAAGCTATGCCAGCAGCTGCCTGTGTACAGCTGCCAAACAGCAGCAGCTGGAAGGGCCTTTCCTGTATGATATGAAACCCCACAGCACAGAGTTCAACTCAAGCTGTAGCAGAATATCTTATTTTCTGCCCTTACCTGGTTAATTGGAGTTGTCAGCTGAATAGGCTGAAATGCTAGGTGTCTTTAACAATGTTGATAAAACTGTTTAGCCTTAACCCAAATTGTCCTGGATGGGAAGTCTGTGGACTCTGTAATGTGTGTAGTGATGTAGTTGTGGGATTAAAATGCATGATTTCTGCGTGCACCCAGGAAAGTGTGTTTGTTACTTTGTCATCCCTGTAATCTCCAGAATAGCTGTATCTGTGAACAGGGGTGGAGTTTACCCTTGGGATGAGCATTCAAGCTGTCCTTTCTGTTGGTTGTTTAGGCCTCTCCTCTGCACAGACAACTCTTTCCATAGCACAGCTTTCCTCTATTTCTGTTCACAAAATGGATGCAGCCCTGGTGCTTCTAACATTATCAGGAAGACTTTTCCTTTAACTGGGCACTGTCCAGGTACCTTCTGTTACCCCTTGTCGGCCCAGCATGCTGTTTTTACCTGAGTTTGTCCTACTGCCTTGGTTGTGTGACTTGTGTGAGAATAATACGGTTATGTTATGATTTGTTTGTTTGTTTGTTATGATTCCACTGGAAGAATTGTTTTCCTTTAGGTTGCTCTAGCTGAAAGCTCCCAGTTCAAAGAAACGTTGATGACGTTACAGTTGAAGAAAGATTTGCTAAACAGTATCTTTGGTGAGGAAAATGCTAAATCTTTCCTGTCAGAAGTAGCTGAAGCTTCAAAGGAGAGAGCAATACTACACAAACGTCTGTTACAAACCAAAAGCAAACTCCAGGTGAGCTTCAAAACACATATGCAGACTTTGCCTGTGACAAAGATCAATCTTTTACTAAGCCAGTTTTATAGAAATAAATGTAGTATGAATCAGTTGGGCCTAATCTATTTTCCTAGGCTAATCAAATATTCAAATAAATGTATGGCCTGTTGCATAGTGTGGGATAGTATTTGTTCTGAGTTTGAAATGGACATTAACAAAGATAGTGCCAAGGGATGGATACTGAATGCTGATTTTTTTTATTCTTTCTCTCCTAGAATTTGATATCACAACATGAGGACTTTGATGTTGATTTTGCACCTTTGCAGATGAAATTATCTGCCATCAAAGCCAAATTAGATCTGCAGCATGAACAACAGCCAGACCTCTTGGGTAAAAAGACACAGCTCCAGAGACTCCAGGTACATTACAGCAATGCTTGACCTTGATGTGCTCCTGGTCCTGTTTAATTAGTGTTAGAAACTCAGGACTGTGTCCCCTAAATAGAGCTAGTTTTTCCACCAAAAAAAATGTATCCTTCTGCTACATACTGAGAATGAAACTGCATGAGATAAACTGTACCTTCCTCCCTTCATAAGCAGGGAGTTTCCATTGTCCCACCTCCCTTCACATCCCTGCTTCCTGCTGTTTACCTTCTCTCAGCTTTGACACTTGCCCAATTTACACCAAGACCTAATTCAGCTGGCTAAAATAGGGTAAATTACAATGTTTAATGTTTTGAACTTGTTCAGCAAAGGGTCCAACATGCTCAGTGGGACTAGGTAGCTGGGAAAGGGGAGAGAAGGGATGAAAGGAAAGAGAGAGGGGGGCATCAACGTTCCTTTTGGCCATGGTGAGGTATGGTGATACTATGCTTTTTCACCTTTGGTGACTGCACAGTTGTCAGTACTTACCCAACTGTATTATGTATCCTCTGGCAGCTTTTCAGCATCTTGTTGTCTTTGTTATCAACAGGTGACACATAAGAACATTCAGCCATTTATTTCAGAACCATTTACTTCTAGACATCAAACAATTAATTTTCTTAATGACAGTTTTTGTTTGTTTGTTTGGTTGGTTGGTTGGTTTTTGTGCCCTCACACTCAACTGGAATTTTCTTTAGTGAATATTTGGTAAAGGGCCACACCACATCTAGCACATAGCCTTTACACAGTCTGTCTTTTCCACTGCAGATGATCCAAGATGACTTGGCAGAGCTTGCAATTCAAATGGAAGAGGTAGAGATCCTGGTTCAGTCAAACCCGACACAGAAGCATGAAATGGATCAACTTTCATCTGATGCTCAAGCCATAGAAAGATCACTGAAGGTAACACATGGAAGAGTTTTTGGTTGCAGGAGGAGTTACCAGTTGCCCCATTTAAAATAAATAGATAAATAAATACTTAGATCTTTGAGCATATGAGATTATAAACTAAGACAGATATATTCATTTCAGGTGAAGAAGGCACTAAATTCTTATGACTTTGATAACTCTTCCAGGATTCTCTAGTTATCTGTAATGTAATTTCCCTTCAGGAGGGATTACCTTCCACATGTATATTTTATATAGATAAATTATTTCTGGAGAGGGCCTGAGATTTCTGACAAATAGATCTGATAGTTACATTATTATAGCGGTGCTTGGACTTGTTCACTTTTTCTTGGATAGAGCTATAGTACCAAGCCAATAGTTTTTTCTTGTGTAGCTTTGTGACCTGAAAACTGATGTGTTGCAGCTTCACAAGTACTAGTTTTGACCTGAGACTTTCTGTAGCTTGTAAACATAGTTATAAAACGACCTTTCAAAACAGTCTCAGAGGAAGAGCTTATGAAATGACCTTATAGTTATGGAGAGCACCATAAAATAACTTATCATAAAGTGTTACCCTAATATGCACTGTTGAATTTTAGTTTCAATCTCGATAATCCCATTTATCATTGAACCGGACTTTATGAAAAAAAAATAAAAATCTCTACAGTCATTTCTGTACAGTCATAGTAAAAGATGTATTTCATATTGATTGAAGTATAAAAAAGCCATATTCTTTATTCTGTTTCAGCTGAAAAAAAAAAAAAAAAAAAAAAAAAAAGGAGCTATTCTAGTGCTTAATGCCCCCATGTGGTTGAATTCAGGTCTGCATGAGCTTGTAGGTGTCATGCCACTGATAGTAGAAGGTTTCTATGTCTTGTTAACAGCTGTTTGTTTCCTTTCTGCCCGTGAGATTCTGTCTTAGCAGTCACAGTGTTAGATCTAGCAGTAAAAGCGCTTTTTGTCTGTGTTCAGTTGCTGACATATTTTTATCATTTGCAGATGATGATCCAGCAGACTGAAGACCATGTTCAGAAGCACTGGGCATTTAATGACAAACTCTCTGACCTCCAGCAGTGGATCACAGCAACCACAGGGAAGATCAGCTCCTACCAGGGTGCTGCTGGAGAGCAGAGTACTGAGAGCAGGATGGCAGACCTTGAGGTGAGAAAGGCGTCTTAGTGTAAGATGCTGCAAAGTGAATAAGTAACATTCAGACATTACGAGAAGGGGTTTTATAGCAAGGGGCTCCAAGCTGAGGGGAGTGGTGATGTTTGTTCTTCCTGAGATAACTTTTGCTGCTGCTGTCTCCCTGCTTTGCCCTGTGCTGTGGGATATGGACCTAGGTACAAGACAAGAACAGTGAGAAATAGACAAAGAACTGTAGAAATGGATAAAATTTTATTAAAGGACTAGTGGTTTTGAAATGTTATACCTATCTTTGTCTGTATGTATGCATCAATACACTGAACATTACCATGTTAGCTATCCTTCTACTGTGTTGAAACAAGCAATTCCACAGTGTTTTTTTTTCTTTTTATTTTTTCTTTTTCCCCCTATGTAGCAGTATTTTGCATGCTAGATTCACTCTGCCAGCTTACCTCAGCTGTCAGCTTTTGCCTTCATATGGGAAACTAAAATATCTCAAGGGAAGGCTAGAGAAGGGATGTACTGACAGCTTAGGCCCTTTAAGTTTTGCCATCAGCTCTTTTACTTATGTTGGCTCTTTGCAAGAATCCTCAGCATATCTTTTTTCCCCGCTAGGTATGTTCTAGCTAGTGCCAACAGAACCAGCATAGTCCTGGACTGAACATGGCCTTCAGTCTCACATAGCCTCTGCTTTACCCAGGATACCTAGAAGTAACTGTAAGGGCTGTGCGTTTCAGAGATGGATAGCAGAGTTTCCAGATAAGGAGATCCAGCTGTACCTTGTAGAAGCTCATGGCCAGCCGGTCATGGAGAATTCTTCCCCAGAGGAGACCGCCCATATCCAGGCTGAGCTGGATCAGCTGAAGGAGTCTTGGAGATCACTGAAAAAAATGACAGCTGGGTAAGTGTTCATGTGTGTTTTCCTCAAGTCCCTTCAACGGTCTGCTCCTTACTGCTGTATGACCAGAAATACTTAGTGCTTTATGCTCTGTGCTGTAAAAGTGAACAACTATGTTGCAACACTGGGGAGCAGGATGAGATTTTATTTCATTGTTTGTAATTTGGAAATCATGACTTTGAAGAAAATCATCTTAGAAAATCCAAGGACCAGAGTAGTCTCTGAAGCTGCCTTTTCCGTGCTTGGAGCAGGCAGTGCCTCCCTAGGGTCTGGCTCACCCTTGTGCAGCAGCCCATGTCCGAGGAAATAGGACATAGACTGGGTGATATCTGCTGTTGTTCCTCACCTGTCCATTCTCTTTGCTGTCTGGTCCAGAGCTATCTCAAAGGAGGCTATGTCTGTGCTAGCTTGTGACTTTTGCAAACCTGCAGGAGTCGAAGAAGAGCTAAAACCCTCCCTTAGCTGGCAAACGTGGACTTACTTGTTTTGTCCTCGCTGTGCAATGTCAAACTGCTGTTCAGGCCTGTTAGTCTGTATTAAAATTGAATACTGTGCTACTTGTGAGTGTGTGTGTGTGTGTGTGTATTCACATGTAGTGACAGGACAAGCATAAAAATGACCTAAATTGAGGAAGGCCTACTTGTACTTCTTGCTGTTTCCAGACTGGGAGGTGTATTGTCGAGGAAGTATATTTTTTGGACACTCACTTCACCCAGTGAAGGAAAATAAAACAGTCCAATGAAAATTGACTGGTGCTGCTTTGAGACAATTCTGTCTTGATCTTATTTTGTTAAAAAGATGATGGAAATAACTGTAACATTAATAAATTGTAATAGTTTTATTTCACTACAGACATCCCCCACACACCAGTCAAAATGTGTGCATCTCACTGTTAGAGGTCTCACTGAACTGATACCTTTGATTTTGTGTTTGCAAGTATTCTCAAAAGGCGGCGGTTAAATAGACCAGTGGCTGATAAGAAGAAGAAGAAAATAGCATCTGTGGACAGCAAACACATGTCAGGACCTGCATCCCGTCTTTTAGATCCCACCTATAAGCAGGTGAGAGGGGGACTTTGAGTCTGCCTTTGTTATCAGTTTCACAAGAACAATTTAATTGACTTCATTTGATACTATGGGTTATAAGCTTGGGGTTGAGATCTTGCAATCCGGCCTTCAGAAGAAACATCTGACTTAACAGTAATGGATTATTTTGTTGCTGTTGTTCTGTAACGTAGGAGAGGATAGGAGAAGGACAAAATACAAGTAGCCACCTTGCGCTCCTACATGACTTTGAAGAGTGGTTACAAGGAGAAAACATCAAACTGTTCAAAATTCTTGCTGCAACTTCATCTTCCACAGAGGAAATCAAGGCACGCCGTAACAAACTGGAGGTTAGTTTTCCAGACAGAGATTGAAATAAAAGCATCTCCATAAAGAATGTTATTTAAAAAAAGTACACTTCCTGCATTAGGAGACTCCAGTGCTACAGAGGAACTAGTAAGCTCAGGACTTTAGGACAAGTATTTTGCTCATAATAAGAAAGATCTGCCAGAGCCAGAGTGGTAGAAAGGAAAGGAGCAGCCTGGCCTGTAGATATTAGACGGAACATTTCTAGCATGGTACAGCAAAGATGTTCATTAAAATAAGCTGATTTAAAATCAGTGTTTGGTATTTGACATGACTGTTTTAGATTTGTTTGAATGAACTAACAAAGCATGCTGTAAGAAATGAAACAAAGATATCCAAAGCTGCATGGGTACTGCAGATGAGTAAACCATTAATTCAAGCAAAAAAAAACAAACAAAAACAAAACCAAGGATAGAAGTAAATATGCTGTTCCAGAATACCCAGTAGTTTGATTTAGTACCACTGTTTTTTTAAGTGTTAGACTTTAAAAGTAAGATCTTCTTGAATTCCGAGTTACTGGTGTAACTTTGCCTGCAGAAACTGCAGGCTCGTGTGCCTGATGGTCAGCATCGCTTTGAGGACCTTCTTCATCTTCGTGCTGTCATTGGTGACTCTGAAGGTCTGGAGGACCTGCGTTACCGATGGATGCTTTACAAATCTCACCTGAAAGATTACACGAGTTTGCCGGTAGGTGACAGCATTCAATTTGCTGATCTCTGCCTTTGCTCATTCAGCTTGCTGCAAATTTCTAGTCCCAAATCACCAGCACAGTTATGTTTGCTTAATTAAAACCTTCCTTAGTAAATGCCATATAAGACAGAGCAAATATAGCTATGTATTTGTAAACATAAGCATGAACCTTCTTGTATTAAAATAAAAGTTGCACACTAGTTTTTTCACTTTATAAGCAATGCTCAGAATATTTCTTAAAGTGGAAGGTTCCAAACAGAACAATAATTAGCTGTTAGAGGAGCACGGCCAAAAGCACGACAGACACCAGCAGAGTCAGATCATGCTCTCTTTTATTGCCCGAATAGTCTAACTTTTATAGTGAACTTAACGGGGGCGGACAGTGTTTCACACAAGATTATTGGTCAAAAGCACTCAGACAAACAACTACAAGAAAACAACCCCACCTGCAAGAAAACAACCCCCTGGTGATTAGCAGTCACGTAGACCTTGTCCTTGAAGCCAGCTGGTGGTAACAATATTTTTCTGAGTTTCTCGATTGGGCGACGTGGGAACACTGTCATGGGAACTTCTCATAGTTACCCAGGTAGCTTGGTTTGCTCAGCTACAGCAAGCCATGGTATTTGCTGAGGCCTACTCCTGGTTGTTTAGAACAAGTTCAGATAGAACAACTGTTCCACGGACTCATGTCCACACCCTTTGTGCCAATTCCCAACAATTAGCCATTGTCAAAAATGCACACAATTGGGGATGGTGAGGTTTTTGCATGTGAGTATTTTGGTTATATACCTTGTTCTGGGCAAATGGGTTTCTAGCTTTTTGCCCTTTCTCTATACAACATGTTCTCTTGAATTATTTTATTATTTTTTTGAACAGTTCCTGTGGTAAGAATATATTCATTATTTGTGTCTTTCCTGCTAGAAGACAGTGATCAGAATAGCCACTGACTGAACTAACTCAGAAAGTAACAATGCACAGGAGGACCTTGTGCTATGTATGTCCCTTTTGAAACTGTCTTCATGAGCTAAGGATGTAGAATGGGATAAGGACAGGTATTTTTAAAGAACAACTGCAATATATTTTAATGTGTGAGATAAATGTTTAAAGACTTTATAGAGTTATTACATTTCAGATATACTAAGGATGGCAAAATTCATCCCAATATGTAAGATATTCTGAGTCATGCTAAAGGTATTCCCATGTTCTTAGCATAAACATACATAATTATTAAGAGTTTTTTCTAACTTAACGTTGTCTGTTCAAAATACCTTAATCAGAGGACTTGACTTTCCAGTTGTACATTTGACACTTTCTATACAGAACTTGAACACCTGAAAAAAATGAAACCCCAGCAAATTTTCTGCTTTAGGAAACCTTGGTTTCAAATCCAGAAATTACTTAAAACACAAATCCTTTAAAGTTCACAGAAGGTATTCATGACCTCTGTTAATCAAAAACATATTTCTTAGATTTCATTGCCACTGATTATAACGAGTAATGTTTTTTTTTTTTGACCAAAACCTCATGTAAGTATAAGCATAGTCAATAGGTGTCAGTAAAATCAAACTTATTGGTAGGAGAACATTTCATCTGATTCATAGTTGAGAACCTAAAAGCATTTTAGCCTTCTGCTTAATATGTGTTAAAAAAGTCGTTAAAAAAAATCACCTGCTGGTTCACTCTATCCAGATGACCATGAATTTAAAGAAACATCCCATGTGAGGTGAATACTCATTTATAGGCTCCACTGGGATCTTAAGTTCACATTTTATTTTATTTATTTTTATTTTTTTTAACAGAGTTTGAGATCTTCAGAAGAACCAGACAGATTCAGAAAGGTATGAGAGTTTCCTTTCATTAAACTAATATATATATGTGTGTGTGTGTATATATATGTATGTATATTTTACCAGACATTTCACAAGTAATTATTTTAAATTTTATTTTCAAGATTCTTAATAACTAAATAATTTCAAGAATGTCTCTTAAATAATTTTCTCTCCTTTTTTTTTTTTTCTTTTTCTTTTTTTTCTTTATCCATAGAATCCATCTCCTATATGCTATGCTATATGAACTTTATTCATTTTTTCAAAAGATACTAAGGAAGACTTAATATCCTTCTTTAAAGGATTTAGGGACTAAGTGCCTAAATAACTTTGAAATTGGGACTTCTGATTCCTTTAGACACTTCAGAAAAATTGCTTTGGATCATTGAGCTGACTTTCTTACTAATGCAGAAAAACAGAAAGTAAAGAGATTTGCCTAATATTATTAGACTAAATCCTTACTCTAAGCAGCAAAATTTCTCCTGTGAAGAGTTTCTTTTGGAAGTGATGACATAAGAAACAGAAGCAGTACAGCAGATGATAAGGACAAACTTAAAGAAAACAAAATACTGCCAGCTTCTTACTTAACCTAAGAAGCTTTTCTGATCCACTTTTCATAAGTTGGGGAGTGTTTCTGTTGAGCTGGACAGTGCTGAACAGTCCTTTCTCTCTGTCAGACCTTACTCTGTTTACAGAGAGATAGCTTCTACTTTGCACTGTTATCTCACTCTCCCTGTGTTTTTAGAAGGAATAGAATAAGGCTCTATTTGCCCAATACACGGTCAATTGGATGAATAATGTGTTGTATGAACATAATCACATAATTATCTTAAACTAACCCAAGCCCTTGATTTCCCCTGTTGCAACATCTCTTTTGAAAAGACCAATATTTAAAGTGTAATACAGTGCAGCTCTAGTATGGTGAGAAGTCGAGATTTCTTCATTCAGAGATATTCCTTTGATGCTCAGATGTGGAGAAGCAACTCTGATGTTTTTCCCTGGTGAAATAGTGACTTATTCCTGGTAGTTTTCACACATCACCAGAATAGTTTTGGCTATAGTTCAGCCTTCCCGAAAACCCCCAAAGACTTTCCATTTTTGCCTGTCTGGCTCAGCATTAATTGATTAGTAATGCAGTAAAGTTGACAGTATTTTGCAGGTTGGAAAAACAATGTGACATCTTAATACTTGGTGTAGACTGAAGCAAACACTTAGTAGTGTTGCGTTTCCCTAGAGGGACAGTCCAGAAGACTGACCAAGGAATTCTCTGCTTTCATATGATTCAGTTGGCTAGAGTTGTCTGGGGAGGAGTGGAGTGAGGAATAAAAAAAATAATTAAAAAAAAAAAAAAAAACAGCTTAAAAAAAAAAAAAAAACAACAAACAAAACACAACAACAAACCAAAGCAAATGAGCAAACAAACAAAAAATCCCTTTGGGCATCAGCCCATCTTCACTGAGCAATTAGCTGTCATTTTGTAATTCATCTGTCCCACCTGCCTTGGGGTAGGTGGTATTTGCTCCCCAATCTCTCTAAAAGAGACTGAAATCTGCTGTTAATTTTCAAGGATACTGAAATAACATAATGGCAGACAGCAAACATTTTTCAATTAGGTCTACAGCAAGAGGACAAAAAAACATTCTCTGAGTTTTTAATAGCTACTGAACACAAAGAGAAACAGCTCGGGGTGAGAAGGATTGTAGAACTGAAATAACCCATAAGCACAAAGGAAATGGCTCCCATTGCACCACCGTTATGTGCAGTTTTCCCCCAGCCAGTACAAATGTTGTTGTAACTTACACCTTAATCACTTCAGTGGGATTCTGCAGACTTCAGAGCATTCATTCTGGATTTAAACTGTGTCTACAGTCAGAATCCAAGTGCTGTAAGCAGAAGTGTCTCTTTCATTCAGGCTAAGGTTATTATCAGGATGTGAGCCTGCTTTGACATAAGGTGGTTGAATACCATTTAGGAGAACCAGAAGATAATGTTGATCCCTTGTGGGTGCATCACTGTTCAGGCTGAGAAAAGAGGAAAAGCAAACCAATTGCAGAACTGAGAGCTTTGCAGTTTATTTTAAAATCCGATGTAACACTCAAAGTGTGATTAGAAATTAAAGATAAAGCAAAATATTTTTGTACATGCATGTTTTAACTATCCTTTCAAATCCATGATGAAGGAAACTGCTCGGAGTGGCTGATCTTGGGAGCTGGTATCTGCAGAAAGGACACCTGGCTGGGGACTGCTTCACTGTACTTGAAATATCCAGTGAGCTGGCATGCAGTGGGAGGTGGCAAATGTTTAGGTATTTTGGACTGATCTCTGCTTCTACAACATGAGGTCCCCAGTGACTCTGCTTGTTTTCCAAGTTTGAGTTAAGAATATTTTGCAGCAGAAAAAGATCAACCTGAAAAATGGGAAGACCCAGATGCAGCTAGTCTCATTCCATTGCCCTCTGGTTTTATTTCCTTTTCTAGCCTGCACAGCAAAATGTTGGCCAGAATAGAGCCTTCTCCACATTTATTAACGGGCTTTTTTCTGATCATTCATCCTTCGCTGAGGACATGCCCCTAGCCACCAGTGCCCTTAAGGAACAGTATGGCCTAATGACTGGGATGTGAGCAGCTTCTTGTTGATTAACAAAAAACAGTTGCAGGAAATTGCACTGGCTGTAGTGAATTTTTAGCAGGTGCCAGTGACAGGGCAATGTAGATGGATTTTTCTGCAGGGCACCTAGCACATTCAAGGACGTAATCAAGCAAATGCTTAATAATAACTATGATAAATGTTACATTCAAAGGTTGGCTCTGAGTTAACTGAAAATATTCCACGGACATTCTTAACAGAAATAGGAAGTCAAAAGCTCGTTATTTACAGGTCTAGGTAGCACTGCTTGATTTATTTTCTCAAGTGCTCAGAGTAATTACACTTCCTTGCTACACAAAATGATTCTGGCTTTATTGTTTGTACAAACAAAATAATTAGAATTCATTACATCAGTGGTCAACTAATTGCTTCCTTTGAGATTCTGCTAAGAATAATCTCCTATAACACATGGACAGAAGGAGCCTGTAATTTAATCTTATTTAGAAACACCATTGATCTGGAGTCAATCAAATTAATGCAGCCATTCAGGAAACTGTGCAAAGCAAGAGCTTGCCACAGCTTGTCAGGAAGAAAACAGTAATGCATTCTGCTCTGTCCAAGTGTAGATACAACAGGAATTCTTCATGCAGAAACTCATATTACAAAAATACTCAGCATCATATGTACATGCTTGTCTTAATGGTGCCTTTCTATTGAAAGTGCGTGGACTGTTTATTTTCCTGTAGTCCTGCTGGGTTTTAATCACTTGAAACCTTCAGTGCAGGTACATTATTATTAAAATAGAAAAGACTTGGTAAAAAGTATCTTTTCCTCAGCTTTTCTTATCTCTTTTGACTAAGGAAATGTTTTTGTGCTGAACAAAAAAAGGTTAGGTGTCAGCCAAGATGAAGCCAAAATGCTTCAAATTCAGGGCTGTGACGGAGCCAAGAGCTAGAGCCCAGCTTGTCAGTCAGGCACTGAAACTTTGCTGTGACACTTTGCTTTCTCGTTCTCTGAAGAAATGGCCCACATTTTTTCCATCACTGTGTCTATACAGCTGTACCTGCCTGCTGTAGGAATTATAATATGGCCCAAACACAGGGAGAGGAGCACCTCACCATTCAGATTAACAATTCCGGTTGGACTAACATCACTCAGCAGTGGTGTTTGCTCAGAAAGGAAACTTCTTAGGGAGAAGGGGAAGAAAAAAAAGGAAAAAAACACCACCAAAAAACTGAAGAATCCTGACCATTCCTCTTCCTAACTCTGACCTGCTACTCAGTGTGCTGGCCTAACAACATCATCACCTGCTTTCTCCAACAGGTCCACAAGCTTCCCTTCAGGTTACTGTAACTGAGACTGCCTGCTTGCACTTGTTTCTGTAGGTTCTGGGTTTTTCAACAATCTACACTGCAGACTTTCATAAAAGCTGGAAAAGAGGGACTCCTTGTTTGCCTCTTGCCTGGTTCTTCCATTGTGCCATGCTGATGCTCTCCCTCTAAAGAGGTGCTGGTACAAGATGGAGGAGACATTTTGCTTCCTAGGACGCCTAGTTCTCACCTTATGTTAACGTTAATATAGCTGAATATGTGATTGGTGGCCCCTTCTTTGTTAAAATGTTGAGTCCTACCACTTTGTGGACTATTTGCAGATTTTCACTGAGCAAATATCCTAGAATGATTTTCTCAGCAGATATAATTTTACTTACTAATTCAAAGGTATCAAGGGAGAGATTTATTGACAACAGCAGAATAAAACCAGTTTCCACTAGACACACGAGAAATATTTTTAAACTACTGTAAGAAGCACAGTAAGAGAAATTATAATAACATCTCAAATTTTTAAAGCAAACAATCACATTGTTAAGTGATTTAAATAGAATGCAAATAATATTCAAGCTGTGTATGATGACTGAAATTTAAGATAAATTTAATCTTGAACTGAGGGAAGTCACTGGTAAAGCATCTGGAAACATGCATTGTTGATGGGATAGACCAATGTCTGACCTTAGTAACTCTTCTACAGCTTCAGATAAATGCTGTCTTTATTTCAGTTTTTATTCTTTCTATGCCAAATTTAATTAACTTTATATTGCAAGGCTGAGTGGAAGTTGCAAACTAGGAGTTGTTTTACTTATCTACCTTCCTGTATAAATGCAGGATACTGATGTCTAATACTAAATTTCAGGCATAATAACAAAAATGTAATCCAGTTTACTAGCTGTCTAAGACTCTTCTTCCAAAAGTAGTAGAGAATTGTTTTTAAGTACAAAATACAGGCGCTGTTGCTATGGGGATGGGGAAGGGGCAAGATGGCGGCCGGGGGGCAGTGCTGCACTGAGCGGCCGGGACCTGTTGTCTTGAGACCCCGTGGGGAGACTCTAAGGGCAACCTGGGGGCTCGCTGAGGGGCGAGGGACAGCGTTCCAGTCAGGGAAGACGGCCGCCGAGCAGCCTCTGGGTGTGGGTGGGTGTGGGTAGTGCAGCCGTAGGGGCCCGGCCGCAGGTAGGTGGGCCAGGGAGTAGCTCTGAGGGCTGTGCTGAGCCCTAAAGGCTGCCTATCTATCTAGGAAGCATCTGGTGGAAGCCAAGCTGTGAGAAATGGCCTTGCTTTAATGCTCTTTGCTCAACATTCTCGTTCCAGTTTCAATATGTGGAGGTAACAAACCAAACCAGGCGTGCTCCTGTGTTTTCTGCAGCGTGACGCAGCCAAAGATCCTGTTAAACTTAAAGTCATCTGTGAAGGGATCTGGCCAACTTCTTCTCAGTGGTTTGTGGGGGCAGGACAAGGGGCAATGGCCGCAAAATGGAGCCCAGGCAGTTCTGCACCAACACGTGAAAGAACTTCTTCATGGTGAGGGTGACGGAGCGCTGGGACAGGCTGCCCAGGGAGGTTGTGGGGTCTCCTTCTCTGGAGATATTCAAGGCCCACATGGACGCCTACCTGGGCAGCCTGCTCTAGGGAACCTGCTTTGGCAGGGGGGTTGGACCTGATGATCCCTGGAGGTCCCTTCCAACCCATACAATTCTGTGATGCTGTGATATATTTGGATAAATCATGTTGCTTATGAGTGTATTTAAGCTAGTGGTATATTTGTGGTTTTAATTATTCCATTTTCCCTTCATGATTTACTTGTCACAAATCATGATTAAAATATGTATCATCTAGTAAAGATGAATCACTGTTCACCATTTTCCAACATCTTAATACATCAAAATTAAAACTGACTATATATGTTCTGTATAGATACAAGCAGAAGCATACAAATAAAAACAACTTAGCTTAATGATAGTTTAACATATACCTTTGAGATTAGGAAAAATAAAACAATTAAACTGCAAAGATTTTATTTCCATGACAATAAATGTATCTTAAAGGTTAGTAATCACTGTGAATCAATGTTACTTGGCAAAACAGGAAAAGCTTGCTCTAAAAAGTTGAAATTGATTACCTCAAGTATCTTGCTAGCTGATTTTTAGAATAGTTACCTTAAGTAAGATGTTAAATGGCAAGCTAAAAGCCTTGATTTAAATATCCTTTTAATAAAGTTGTTTTGAAGTACTTTTTTTGTCAGCAATTGAAATGAAAGTAAAGAACCACTATCCTTCCTTGATATTGACTGGATTTCCAGAGCACGGATTTGTGTAGCACTGGTTTAAAAACCTGTTACCATGTTCTGAAATTTTTGCAAATGCTTCCCTTGTGATACTTGAGGGACTTGGTGTAACTCACTGCCTTGCTTTTGGGTGTGAAAAAGTGCTTCAAAATTACCCGGCTGGAAATTTGGCCCTCCATATTCTCATAACATAGAAAAGAAATTTTTTATGACCCATCCTACCTACTGCTTTACTAGTCTTCCGTAGTGCTTTCTGTCTTTCATCCCACATAAAACATTTTCTGGGTAAAGAGAAATCAGCTTCCACTGCTGGGACCAAACTGAGATTTTTGTGCTTGCTGAGGTCTGGAGAATTATAGAAATGACTGCTCCTTTAATGGATCAGGCTGTAGCCATTGTCCTGTGACATGCTTATCTTAAAAGCATGGCATGTTTTTTATGCATGCAGAAGCTAACCTTTATAAATCTGTTTGTGTCACAGCGGCATATGGCACAGGACTTAGTTCTAAGCGACTTTGCAGGAGAAAATCTGAAATATCTGCCATGTGTGATTGCTGAAATCTCAGATCCGAACTGCTGGCTTTTCCATGTTTCTCATTCCTTTTAAATCAAATGTTCATCAAAGATTCTAGTTAACCATCCATCCGTGTTGAGGTACTCAGCATTTCCCCTCAGGGAGAAAACAAAAGCCTGTAATTTGCCTGTATACTTACTTATTCACATGCATCCTCCTCAAAACTGAGAAGAACGTTGAGGTTACGAAGTCAAGCAAACTGAAGATAGAAAATGTCAGAACTGAAATTGCTTGTGTGACCTCAGTTAACCTCCTTCAGCACATACGTTCTGGTAGACCTTTGTTAGATGGAGAATGATACGCACAGGACTCTGAGGGGTCCCAGCCATCCTCACTCATTCCTCACTGCTGGTTTCCTACCCTGGGCAGTATTTATGTTTAGGAAAGCATGGTTCTGAACCCAGTGGCTCACTGTCCTTTTGCAGAGGCCTGATCGACAGTGTTCAACACTTGATTTTTGCTCTGGTGTGTGGGAGTGAGCCAGCGCTTTTTCTTACAGCTTGCTGGATGCTCAGCTCTAGGGGCAGTGGCATCCCACTCCCCCACATTAGAACCTCAGCAAGGAAACAAGCAATCAACAAGTCCTCCCCTCTTGAAAAGACAAGCTGTGATTTGCAGTATTGCTTATCTCAGAGAGGGATATTCATGGCTCTCAACTGAGAACTGATGAGGAGCCCACCTATAAATGGTCCCACACAGAGGTAAAAGTCCATTTTACTTTGGTTTGAGAGAGGAGCCTCTGCTCTCCCTGGAGCTGATCTATTCTGGTTGGCAGTAACTTGCCTCTGTAAGCGGCAACTACATTTGTTTCTAGTGGTATCTCAAGCGGCAGAAAGCCATGGCCTTCCAGAGGCAACTGCTTTACCAAAAAAAAAAAAAGGCAATTGAACATGATGATGACATGTTTCTATTTAGAAGTATGGTAAACTGCTGTTCCTGCCTTCTTGGCTGTTCTGTTTGTACTCAAAGCAATAAGGAGGTGGCAGAAATGACACCCATGTAGGCAATCCCTTCCAAGGTCTATTCTTCCTATTAAGGTGTTCTTCCTCTGCCGTTGCTACTGCAGATTAAGCCCATTGTGTTGTGATCTGCCCACTGGGGAGGTACAGGCCTGGATTCATCCTGTCTGAGCAGTGGGTTCAGGGCTTTCAAGTCGTGCATGGTGCAGAGAGTACAGATGGGGACAGATTCTCCACAGGAAAGAACCAAGAGCTAGGTTCAAGGCTAACTTCTTCATGCCCCTAATAGTTGACCCGTGGAACTCCTTGTGAAAGGATATTGGACTTTAAAAGTCTGTGTAGGTTCAAGGAGAAGCTGGGTAAGGTACCTGGAAGATTTACTGAGGGTTAACTAGGTAGACAAGCTACACAGGCTCAGGAGAGTGCCAGAGCTGAAAGCAGTTGGAGGCTGAGAATATGAAGGAGTTGGTTCCTTTATTTATGGGGAGAGCAGGAGTTCTCAGATAGCAATACATCTCCTCAGATATTCTCTCAGAGTGAAATGCTCTAAGGTCAGAGGAAGAAATGCAGAGCTGATTTTATTTCTCTACTGAATCAGTGATTCAGAGGTGCGGATATGACTTTTATCGGACATGCTGGTGACATATAAGCAGCAGCAAAAACCCACTAATGAGAATGATATCAGATGCTGTATTCCTCTGCTCCTCATAGAGCCAGATTAACTGTGTGTTTCTGCACGTCCTGGAATGCGGTCAACAGCAAACCAGAGAGTGCACTGAATTTCAGCAAAGCACTTCAGCAACTTATAGAGGAATATTCTGTAGCAAGTTCTAAAGTGTTTTTCTGCTGTTTCCCATCCAAGCGATTTTTCATGGTGTGCTGGGTAAAGAGTTATTAACTGCAAACAGATTTAAGTGCTGAGGACTCCCTAGATCTAAACCGGTGCTTGTCATTCAAACACCCCAGCACGAATCAAGTACAAATGTGAATGTTCACAGCCAGTGCAGTTCATTTGGTAACAAGCATGCATTTAGCATTACACAAAACACAGCTGTCTGCCTCTTGACAATCCGTGCTTCTCCTGATACGTCAAGGGATAAGGGGCAGAGAACAGGCACTTATCTTTGATGGTGAACTTTAAAAGTATATTTTCATTTTACATATCGGTCTATTCCTTTTCCATGTGTGTTTCAAAAATGTCTTAACTCTTTGGCTCGGTACCCAGGTATTCCAGCTGTTATTCTAAGATGGTGGAAATTAAAGTTCTGTTGACTTCAGTGGAGTTCTGCCAGTTTTCCTTAGAGGAGGATTTGGTTTCAGGGTATTTTGTGAAGCCTAGATCTGACACACACTCTGCAGACACCGTGGGTGCTGGGTAGCAGATGTACCGATGCCAGTAGCTGAAATGAGGGGAGAAGGGGAATTCCACTGTGTAGCAAGGTTTGTGGTTCCCACCTTTGATCTGACATGGAAATGAAATGATCAAGCTGGCTTTTGCAAAGGTGGAACTGCGCAGACTGTCCTCTTCTAACACAGAATGATGTGCTAAAGGGTTGGGACTGTGGTCCTGACTCCAGGTAGACTTGTACATTCCTGATCACTCCAAGTCCAGCATAGCAGAGGCTTCCACTTTGGCCTCCTCAATTCCTCATTGGTGCTATATTCTCAGGTCACTGCAGCCTGAAAGCATCTCTCTCGCAGTATAGCACTAAAAAGCCTTAGCCAAACTGAAGTGCTGCTTTGTTCACACCCAGGAGAGGGAATCAGTGCCTGAAAGCTTCTGAGCTTTTTCCAACTCCCCTCTGAGCCTTTTCCATCTCCCCTCTTCAAAGTTACTGTGTCTCTCAAAATTTTCTGTCCTTAAATTATTACACCTCTAGCAGTGCTATCACAAAAAATAAATAAATAAAATAAAATAAAAATAAATAAATAAATAAACTGTTCCAGCCAGCCCAAAGCAACAGAATTACTGTAGGATTCATGTGCACAATAGCAGAACCCGGATGTGTAAGTAATGAACCCATTTGTAAGGGTATCATTTGAACTCTATGAATAAGTAGTTCTCAATCCCGACTTTATTTAGTTGTCTCTGTGCATAATCCTGCTGCAGACACTGTCGTTAATGGTAAATCTCCCATGGATTTCGGTGTGTGCAGGTTGGGGCCCTCATATATTAAGGGCTTATCATTGCAAATTTGCTGTAACCACCAAACGCTCACAGCTCTTGTGTGCCTCATCTTCAGCCCTGCAGAGCCATCATAATGCCATGTGTGTGATAGGAGAGGTATTTCCATGGCAACAAATGGAATCAAAAATACAGATTCTGACCTTGCTGTGTGATCAAACAAAACAGAGAAGCTGGGCAGCAAAGACAAAAGTTCATCAAACGCAAGTGCCTACAACCCCAGCAAAGAGATGGGAGAGAAACAGCAGATAAAGACAATATATTTCTACTTCTCTGAAGTTCTGCCCCAAGGCACAAGTTTTTCCACAGATTTTTCCAATGCTAGGATATGCTGTGGTTAGCCTGAGTATCTTACCCTGCAGAAAGCTCCAAGGGGAGTAAATGATAGCTTGCTAATAAGGCCATTTCATATTAATTCTTTCTGCAGGATAAACTTTGAAAGGCAGGATCATTTTACAGCTCCTTCCCATAGATCTTAGAACAGCACACTTGACAAATAACATTTCAATCTCATCTTATTTTTTCAGAGTTGCATTAACAGCCTTTGCTTCAGAGCCCAGGGTGGAATCAGTGACCTGCTCTGAATCAAACACTGGATTAGGAAAAGAGCTGGGGTAGGAACAACGTGAGTGGCCTTGGCAGTGGGGCCATTGTAGGGAGACAAAGACAAACTTGAGTGGATGGACAGCTGTAAAGTTTTAGGTGTTGTTAGGAAGATTGGCTATCTTCGTCACAGCTGAGTGTCATTTAGAGATGAGCTTCCAATTCCCAGGTTGAGTTTGTGAGGACCTTTCTGAGACCCCTAGCCATAATGAGCTGTGGAGCAGTCAGTCACAGGGTTTAACAACATCAGCATTAAACTTTGTTGCATCTTCGTGGTAGAAGAAGGAGTGTGGTCTGTATTGTCCCAAAGCAGATGCAATTCCAGTCTGATCTTACATCAACAGAACTACACCTGTTAATTAAAAATAAATAAATAAATAATAAAAAATCCAGAGAAGATGAAGGATTTCAGGTCTGGGCTCCAGCACTCGAAAAGGGAAAGTGCCACTAGTACAGGTAGTTATGCCTTGTATTTTGGCTAGTTTTTGAGAACAGATCACGGTAGGAACAGATGACTCCTGTGATCCAGACAGGATGGTGAAGCCTTGATTGGGTGGGTAAATGCTAGCTGTACCCAGGAAGGTTCCCAAGCGTGCTTACAGTCAGAGTCCCACTTGCACCCTGACACTTACTTGTTGCCTTCTGGTGGTTCCAGTGCTCAGGGACCTGAGTTTTCATTGGCCTCAATGAGCAAGTTCCAGCTGAGACACTGTGCAGGTCTGAAACGAGCAAGCAGCTCCTGCTTTGCTGCCTCTACCTCTGCCTAATACAGCAACTAAATCTCATCAGCCATTTGATGCAATGGAAGCAAACGAACTGCATCTGAAGGAGGATTTCACAACACAAGTGTCTTGTGACCCGGAACCACAATGATACGTTTGCCTTCATAATCAATTCTGTAAACATTTATATAGAGCTGCAAGAGACTGGGAAATTTAAAAAGCAGTAGAAGAGACCCTTAAAAATAGCAAAGAGTAATTGCTTTCCTTTACCATCATCCTGCTCCTTATCTTCTCTGCTGATGGTTCCCACAGGCTGTTCCTGATGGGGCTTTAATGGGACAAAGGCATTGCCTGTTAAGTCATACATCCAGCAGAGGCCAGGAGCCCTGATTTTGCTGTAGTACTGATATCCCCTGTGGCTTGAACACAACCTAAGCTCCTTCGAATTAACTTCCTTTTGTGGAAAACACAGATCCCACTGCAGCGGATGTTCTGTGCTGATACTTGTGATGTAGGTTGATACCTAATGCTGTAGCAGCATTAAGTGTTATTTCTGTGGTCTAAGCATAAATCCATGTTTGATGAAATTAATGGGTTATCGAGTCATATTTTTCAGGACTCTCTTACAGATTGCTGATATTTGGGCTTTTTTTTCTTTTCTTTTCTTTTTTTTTTTTTTTCTTCAAAGCACATACAGTTCTGCTTATTGACAGGAGAGATCCAGGAATTCTGCCAGTGGAGATCTTGCTTCTTAATTGATATTTCCTGAATTCTGTAGCCCCAGATATATTCCCTCCTGTTTGTGCTAATCCAGATTAAATTGATGAGGTTAACCAAACTACTCCTGACATGCACCAGCATAAGGAAAAGTGATCTGACTTTTTTGTGTGCATCTCTTCTGTGGCTGCTCAGCAATAAATGTTTTGTGTTTTCTCCAATTCTTCTGCATCACATAAAAGTTTAAGATGTGCCTGGGTAGGTGTAAGAAGAACTGAGGCAGACTGCAATGCAGTCTGAGTTACTGTTTGCTTTATGTCTTTCAGAAGCGCTCTGGAGGTGTGTGCTCCTTCCTGCATCGAGTGTGCTGGGCAGCACTGCCACTGCAACTGCTCCTCCTGTTGCTTCTGTTCCTGGCCTTCCTCCTGCCCCTGGCAAAGGACAAGCGCAGCTGCACGCTGGCAAACAACTTCGCTCGGTCCTTCAACCTGATGCTGAGATACGAGGCCCCACCTCCAACCTGACTTCTTGGCGTGGCAAGAGGTGACTCAGAAATACAGACTCTTTTTTTTAATTATTTTCTTTCTTTCTTTCTTTCTTTTTTTCCTAACAACTGCAAGTATTGTAGACTTTAGGGCTTCTAACAAGGCCATCTTATGAAATGGGTATATCACATAAATGCAGCATAAGATTAGTCCACATTAATCAAGTATTTGAGCAAAAATATTATTTTTACAATATTTTGTTATAACATTGATAAAGTGTATATAGAGACTCTGTATATGTGTGTATATATATACAAAAAGTATAAATGCATATCTGTGGTCAAACTAACATCTCCATCCACTCATCCACTGTTTGGAGATAATCCTGCAATGTTTATGTTTATATCATCTTTCAACAAAGAACACTGAATGGTGGTGTTCTTGTGGTTGTTTTTTTTTTTTGTTTGTTTGTTTGTTTGTTTGTTGTTGTTTTTTTTTAATCAGATTTTTAATGTTTGCAACCAAAGTCAGCAAGTATGCAAAGATGCAAACATGCACCAGAGCGTGAATTGGGGAGCAGGTAGAACAGAGTTGTGTTGGAAGACAGTGGTTGACATTCAGCCTCAGGAAAACTGGGACAATTCTATTTAAAATCTTGAACTGTTTTTTCAGTATCTGGATGCAGGTATTGCAGAAGGTAATGGAAAATTTTCCGCTGACTTAAATAGAAGTGGGGGTGGGCCTTCTTTCGTTCTCTCTTTTTTTTTTTTTTTTTTTTTTTTTTTTACCAGATTTCTTTTCCAATTACTGTGTTCTCCAGCCCACTTGAATCAAGAGAGGTAGAATACAGTAGGAGGAAAGCTGGAAAAAAAGACTTTTTTTGTTACATCTATATAGAGGATTTGTAAAATCAGGTCATAATTTTCTGAACAAATTTGTGAGCACTGAACAAAACCTTATATTAGTGATTTTGTCTTGAAAAAAATGGTGGAGATTTTATTATTAATATTATTATTGTTATAACTTTATAAAGAGTCATTTGGGAATGGATTATAAAGCCTGAACAGTGGGATACAACCTGCTTCAATGTCAGCATTGCAAAAGTCAGAACTACTTTAATAATACCTCCTTGAAAACAAACTTCTTTCATAGTCTATTTTTATGTTAATGTCTTAATGTTTTGCTGTGATGTGAACTGACTGTATCAAAGGCAGGCAAGCATGGATTTTTATATAGGCTGAATGCCAAGATGATAACAACTTATCATTTATTTACCTAGCTTTATGCCTGATTTATCAAATTTCTGAATGTACATTTTAACATTGCCTTTTAATGCAAAACCTCAGCTTTACCGTGATGAAACCATTCTTGGTGGTGTTTTACCTAATTGATTCCTGAAAGAAAGGGCAATTTCTAAAATTCTATGCCATTTCTGAGAGCAACCTTTATTTTAGCCTCAGTAATTGTCATGGGGAGGAGGAGGGAGAAGAAGAAAAAAAATAACAGAAGAAACAATTATTTTTCCCATCCTGGCTTTGGTGCAGGAGAAGTTTGCCTTGTCCATACCAGCATGTGGTACTTGGTGTTTTCCAAATATATTTCAAAATAATGTTAAATCTGTTGCACAGGTAAATTATTTAATAGCTGAGGAATTGGAGGAGGAAGTCATTTTTCTTTAACAAACCCATGAATGTTTTGTTAAATAAAAATAACTCGAGTAGAGTAGGAAGGCAGAGCAGCAAGGAGCTCATTATGGGCATAGAGTGGAGGGGAACAAGCAGATGTCAAAGAAGAGTAGATAGAGAAGAGAGGGGTCCAACAACTTATAAAACCTAAGAAAGGAAGTCTTTTGAATAACAGAAAGGACAAGAATACAGTCTCTAAAGAAGAAACATTTCTGAATCTTTGATTCCCTCTCCCTGCTCAAGTATTGATACTATTGCATATTAAACACCCTTTCTTCAGTCAGATTTAAAATGGGGCAAGTAACAGGGAGTCTGCCAGCATTCTGAGGAGGCTTTTTTGCCATCAGCACTCTTGCACTGTAATGCTTCCAACTGCAGTGATTTTGCTAGAGTTATATAAAAACATCAGATTTCAGATGTGAAAAAGAGCAAAGGATAGCAGGGAAGGTGAAGGTATTCAGGTAGAGTGCAAGGGGAGTGTGAGGAGGTTCTGAACTGAAGCAAATTAAAGCCTGAGTGTCAGGAGGCAGCAGAAGAGAGGAAGAGAGCAGGCAGAGGGGGCACTGACAGCAGAGAGGTGAGGGGACAGGCTGTATGCTGAGAGATAACTAAAAGTTATTCACAGCTAAACAGGAAGCGAGGGAAGGCAAGGCCTGTCATTTCTTCCATGGAGGAGCCAGATGGAGAGGAGCTCTAATTCATCAGAGAGCAGAGCGAATGAATTCCTTCTTTGCAACTGTTCTTTCTGGAGGCAGAGGGCATGCCTCCTCCTCTCCCCCGATTAGCTGCTCAGGAGCCATACACAGTCCCGCAACGCTTCTCTAAGCATTGCTGCCAGCCCCAGGGGAAGAACCCAGTGGCTGTGCAGCAAGGAGCTAATCATCATCAGGCACAGCTCAGTTTCTAATGAAATGCTTCAACAGAAAAGAAGTGTGAGGGAAGAGGAGCAGCGACAAAACCTGCTGTATGGGGTTGTGTATACGTGTGCTTGTGCACACACTTTTCTCTGGTGTAGCTACGTTGCACTTCTCTGAGTTTTGCTGAGCCTCTCCATGTGATGAAAATAAATGCCAGTAAAAAACAGATTTAAAATAATGAGTGAAAATATAGCCACAAGAGAAAATCAAAAGGGGCATATACAAATTTCCACTGTGAAAGCACATAATCTCACATCGCATTTCTTTCTGCCCAGCCTTTCTAATATGGATGATTTTTACGTAAGCATGCAACTGGATAAAGAAAACTTACACGAAGGACCACAGCAGAAAACTGCATCATCACCCTGATGTTTTAGTGTTGTGTCAGGATCTAAAGAAAAAAAAAAAAAGAGAGAGAGAGAGAAACACTCTTGTGCTGCTGGGTTACATTCATTTTCTTCTTCTCCTTTGTTATCTTGCATTTTTTTGCTTTAAATCACAGCAAATCTATTCTCCTTAACGTGTGTTATCTAAATATCTCACTTAAGTGAGATATCTTTCTACATCTTTACAATGGAATCCCCTTGAAGCACAAGACTTTGATTTCCATCTCACTTAGGACAATTTCACTTCTTTTTATTGACCTTACCTGTCCAATGAGATTAAAATTTTGCTAAGGAATTTTATTCCCTTTATTTCTCTAAGGAATTTTAGAAATAGCAAAAGTAAGCTTGAAATGTAAGTTCAAAGTTTACTTTCTTTTTTATTCTCTTGTTTTTTTCTGAAAAGTTTAAGATACCGATAGCTGGAGGTGTGCATAAATATTAACTAAGTCAGTAGTAGGAACAGTGAAAACAAAATGCTCAGTTCAATTTCCAGGGAACAGAGCAAAGGCCAGATTGCTCAAAACACAAAATAAATCATAGTGTTTCTAAATCAGTCCTTAAAATCTTGAGCACTGTTCTTCATGTCTGAATCATTGATCACAGATGATTTGGGGATTATATCCTATTTCAGTGCCTATAAAACGCTCATGCACCTCTGACATCTATTTAACTGTGATGTTTTGTAGTTCAGCTTCATATTGGGGCTGCTGTCTTAAAACATCCCTTGCCAAAAACCTGGGATGTGCAAAACAGACAAGTGTCTACACCTGAGTGCTTGCACTGCTTTAATGCAGATCCAGCCACTGTCGGAGAGTGTGAAAGCCCTATAAAATAGACTGAAAATGATTGAGCTTTTAAATTGTTTGTGCATCTGACTCAGACCATGTAGCCTACACTGCACGTAGATCCGCAGCCTGTTCTCAGAGCAGTCTTTGTGCTTCTGTCCAAGCTTTCTTGCCTGCCCTATCGGACCCAGTAGGTGATTAACCACATTAATGACCCATCAGTGCTGAAGGCAAAATCCTACAGTCTGATGCCAAAGCATTAAAGTAAGAATTCTGCACAGCC